TATACGGCTTGTTCTTCAAATATGACTTAACGCTTTGCAAACAGGACCGGAATCGAGAATCATTGGTCAATCGGTGCAATTCATATAATGATTTATGAAGCACAGCACAGATATGGCACAAGGCCGACATTGAAGAGCGCCCAGTGACGTCATTGTTAATATAGTGATTTACAAAGTTCCACTCAGATATGACTTAAGGCCGAGATTAAGGAGCACCCAGTGACGACATCATTGATACACTGACTTATTAAACGCAGCTTAGATTTGGCACAGGGACGGGATTAAGGAATACCCAATATAGACATCATTCATATGGCACAAGGTCGAGATTAAAGAGCGTCCAGTGACGATATCATTCATATAGTGACTTCCTAAGCGCAGCTGAGATATGGCACAAGGCTGAGATTGAGGAGCACCAGTGACGACATCATTCATATAGTAATTTATTAAGTGTACCTCACATATGGCACAAGGCCGAGATTAAAGAGCGTCCAGTGACGATATCATTCATATAGTAATTTATTAAGTGTACCTCACATATGGCACAAGGCTGAGATTGAGGAGCATCAGTGACGATATCATTCTATAGTAATTTATTAAGTGTACCTCACATATGGCACAAGACCGAGATTAAAGAGCGTCCAATGACGATATCATTCATATAGTAATTTATTAAGTGTACCTCACATATGGCACAAGGCTGAGATTGAGGAGCACCTGTGACGACATCATTCATGTAGTAATTTATTAAGTGTATCTCACATATGGCACAAGGCCGAGATTAAAGAGCGTCCAGTGACGATATAATTCGTATAGTGATTTATTAAGCGTACCTCACATATGGCACAAGGAACGTGATTAAGGAACACCCAATATAGACATCATTCATATAGTACCTCACATATGGCACAAGGTCGAGATTAAAGAGCGCCCAGTGACGATATCATTCATATAGTGATTTCCTAAGCGCAGCTGAGATATGGCACAAGGCCGAGATTGAGGAGCACCAGTGACTACATCATTCATATAGTGACCTGCCCTGCGCAGCTCAGATATGGTACAAGGCCGACCTTAAAGTGCATCAAATGACGACATCATCATATAGTGGTTTTCTAAGCTCATCTTAGATGCTGCAGAAGGTTGAGATTAACGGCACCCAGTTAGGAACGAATTCAATCTTCAGTCGTAAGTTATTGATATTTTTTTTCTATTCTCTACGCAATCTCGTTAGAGAGTTACTGAATGAGGCGCTTTTATGGACATAATAGTTGTTGGTAAGAACTGCAGATTATGAGTATATATAGGATAGATAACGGTTGATACTTGAAATAATTCATCACCCACAAGGACGTATAAATGCTTTTGAACACTGTCATGGCGGGAGAGTGCGGACTGGGCAGTTGTAACCCAGAGATGGCAGCAATATTCCATTCTTGATCTGGCTCTTGTAAAGACCGAGTATGCTAGGAGGGGGTCAGATACATTCTGGGGTGATAAATTTGTTTACTTTTCCAGCAATTTAGCGAGATAAAGGAATCCCTCAGTTAGTGAGACTAATGTGTTCATTAAATGTTACGGACTATTTAATCGAATAGAGTAACTTATATGAAATGATGTAATTTTTACCTCAAATTTTAGTCTCATTTGCAATTATTTTCGTACATATAAATTAAAATCTAGGTATGTTTCAGATTACGGTGGATAACGGCTCGGGTTGAGGAATCGGAGAGCCGAGTTCGAATCCAAGTCGAATCCATTACATTTACTTACGTGCTTATAACCCTGGGATGAATCCTCTTCATCTCCCCAACCCTCGCTATGGGTAAATTGCAGGACAGACCAGGTTCTATTGCTTTGGATGGCAACTGATCTACCGATGTGTCATAGTGGAATAATTGATAGCGGCTCGGATTGAGGAATTGAGAGCCGAGTTCGATTTCCAGTCGAATCCATTATATTCACTTACGTGCCGTTGGTATGAATCCTCTCCCCCCCCTGCTATGGGTAAATAGTAGGATAGACCGAGTTCTATGCTGCAGAAAGAAATGGCAACCTAATGCGGGAAAAAGTCTGCCTCGTCAGTCATGTATCGAAATATACATGATCGCCTAAAGGTGTATCACGTATGGCACATAACTGACTAACATATAGGAAGATACAATGAAAATGATATGACTTAATGTTTATTAATATGAGATTTAAAAAAAAACTTATTTAGTAAGTGTTTGCCGCATCGTTTTCTTCTGTTCTTCAAATAAATGGCGGTACTGAGAAATTGTCCCTTCAAATATTCCAAACCTATAATCATTTGTATTTTAACCTGAAAATTTTTGATTTATAATCTTTCCATAGTATATGCATAAATCTTTTTATATTTTGATATTCTTTAATAAATGTAAATTTCTCTTATTAAATCTTTCTCTTTTTTTAAAAAAAAATAAATCAGAAATTTACAGTGGCAGTTGTTTCAATTTATATATTCGTTTTATCCTTCCTTAGATTTTCCAAACAGACAATCATTAGTATTTTAATCTTAAAATTTTATTTATTATCTTTCCATAGTAAATGCATAAATCTTTTTATATTTTGATATTCTTTAATAAATGTCAATTTCTGTATCTAATTAAATCTCTCTCTCTTTCTAATTTTTAAACAAAAAATCAGAAATTTCCTTTCAAAATAAACATGAGAAAAATGAAGAATGAATGTTTACTGCACTAATTGTGTATCATGCATGCACTAAATAAATTTTGGTATAAAAAAAAAACTTTAGCGCACTAATCGGAAATGCATTAATCGAGGGATTCCTGTATTTGCTTGGAATGAGAAATTGGTAAACCAAGTTTGAATTCTGCCTGAGTTTCTCACCTTCTCTTTTGCACAAATACCTTTTTGTTATGGTATGAGTTCATCTTCAACCCCCACCCCCCGGCTAGGGATTAAATAGCAGTGGATTGGCTCTCTAAGCTATGGTTGGCAACCAGTTTAGGAGAAAAACAACTCTTTATTCAAAACTGTAGCCCTGACAAAGCACATACAATGCAGGCACTGAAAAGATTGGAGTTCACACTGACTTGATCTTGACAGATAAAATTTTAATAGTTGACAGAAGTAAAGCTTTTTTTTTTATCATCATCAATTGTATTTGATATATTGTTTTAATTTATTGTTCATATAAAATTTGTTACATTATATATAATTCTACATTATAATAAAGGATTCAGTTTGAAATTCTCTGAAGAAGGCTGGATGATATAATGATTGAAATGGGGAAAACAACAAAGATGAGGACATTAGTTTGAATGTAAATAATAAAGTTGTATTATGTTCCTTCAATGAAAACTATAGTATTTGTTAATAGAAAAAAAAAATAAACAGATTATGAAGTTTCATTTTTGAAAATGTTTTGAATTACTAATGCTAAATCTTTTGGTGAGTAATTTTCTCTACACTTTTGTGTGCAGTATCGCTTCTGGGGATGTGCAGGTGGTGTAATGGATAATGGCTCTGAATGAGAAATCACTGAGCTGAATTCAAATTCAAGGCAGGTTCTAGTTATGGGCTAAATATTGGGACTTGTATAATTCAAGCCGAAGTCTAGTTATTTTTTCAGATTTTTGTAAAAAAAACAACAAACATGAAATCCCCAAAAAATAAATCTTTCCAATGTTTCTGGATTTGAATATAACAAGTTTTGCTTTTTAAAAGAAGACCGAGCCAAGCCAGTATAAAAACAAAGCAGTAATTATCTTTCCATTGTCTGTTTTGCCATTGATTTAAACAAGCTCGGACGGTAGGTTACTCAATGTTTTTTCCCTGACCCCACTTCCCCCCAATGCCCCGTGAGTGTCATATTCTCCAAACCTTCTTTCTTCTCTATGTGACCTAGAAATTTCAACTGTCTCTTTCCGATTTTAAATATAAGCGACATTTTTGTTTTGGGTATTTGCGCGTAAGTAAAAATAACGAACCCGACTGGAATTGGAACTTGACCCACCAGTTTCCAATTCTGAGCCGTTATCCATTACACCACCCGCACACCCATGCTTACAGGAGCTGGTATTCGCAAACGGTTACCCTTCTAGGTACTGGCCAGCCTTAACGTTGCTTAAATTTGGTAATCCTGCTCATCAGCAATATTCCATTCTTGGTCTGGTGTGATTCTTGTAAAGATAGAGCATGTTAGGAGGAGTCTGATACATTCTGGAACTGGGCAAGAAGTCAACCATTTTTTAACATCTTTATTGATGGATCGTATTTATGTTGGTCACACCACAAACTCGCTTTCAAGACGCTTGACGCTACATTTGAATAAAAACTCTAACATTTTTAGGCATTTAAAACAACATGCCTGCCCGCACACACAATTCCGTAAAATACTTGTCGAAAACACAACTATACTTCGACATGAAAACAATAGACAAAAACTAAAAATACTTGAAGCATTATACATCAAACAGTTGAAACCCAACCTAAACAAAATCAATTATGGCATCTCTACAAATATTCTTAAATGTCTATAATTGGTAACAGAAGCCATTGGTTTATACCAACGGCTTTCCATACTTCATACTTCACTCTCGTGTGGTCATATGTGACGTCATGAGATGCGGTGCGATTTTCGCTTCTAGCGTCTTATATGCGCGTGTTTATCGTTGCTTAGAAATCATCTATGTAAACATTGACAGACTATCATTACTGTCTTGTCCGTATATTGTTTAATATGTTGTAATTGACATCTTTGATAATGGCTTAAATTAGCCGAAAGCTTAGATTTTATTAAAAAAAATAAGGATCAATATTGTGAATTTCTTTCTTCGTTCAACGATAATGTTATTAAACTTATCAGACGTTATGAAAAAATTTACATAAAATAAATAGACGACACCTGTCTATATTATTTAATGAAACGTGTATGAATATATATATATATATATATATATATATATATATATATATATATATATATATATAAGTTTTAACTTTGTGCTTCTGTCATGTTAAGTTTTAGATAGATAGATAGATAGATAGATAGATAGATAGATAGATAGATAGATATGAAGAAAAATACAGAAAAAACAAACAAAAATCTTAATATGCAATTATGCTGTATTAATGTTAATATAAAGTCGACGCCGGACGTTTCGGTCTATTTAAGACCATCTTCATGGACATTTTCATTTAAACATAATTAACATTAGAACATATAAAAATTTAACACAAAAGACGATGGACATAAGAGCACAACTAATCCAAACAGATAACTGAAATTTTTATATAAGATCAGCGTTCCGTTTAAATATGATCACGTCGTCGTCACGTGGGCGATGTTGTGAAAACGTATTCGAAGATGATTTCAAAATATTAAAATATTAAAAAAGTTGATTGAACTATTTTATATAAACAGTTCAAGAAATCCCTTCCGTTGATATAGGAATACGTAGAGATCAATAGGTTCTTATATCTTCATACAAGCTTGAAGTCCTTCACGTTACAAAGAAAATCAAAATGATTTCAAAAAAAACGATGGAACAGTTCTAAAAAACAGTTCGATAATAAATCCTTTCCTTACTTGATCAATAGATTCTTATATTCTCGTTCAAGCTTGAAGTCTTCCATGTTATAAAGTAAATTCAGGTTTGTATTTCCAGTAGACAGTATGTAAGCAAATATATGGATATAGATCCGACAGTATGAAGAAAAATACAGAAAAAACAAACAAAAATCTTAATATGCATTTATGCTGTATTAATGTTTAAATTTTTATATGTTCTAATGTTAATTATGTTTAAATGAAAATGTCCATGAAGATGGTCTTAAATAGACCGAAACGTCCGACGTCGACTTTATATTAAATACTGTCGGATCTATATCCATATATTTGCTTACATAGATAGATAGATAGATAGATAGATAGATATGGGACCCAATGACTAAAATATTTTCAGGTACACTTCTCACCGATTTACAATCTAGAATATAGAATTGTAACTTTAACGTCAGGCAGGCGTGGAAAGCTGGCGCCACACAATCTTACAGCTCCTATTTCTCCCGAAGCTAATCTTTCGCGTGTTCAAGTACCTTTCTCTCTCTTCAATAAAAATGCTGCAAATATTTTTTTATGTATCTATTCATTCTATTTTTTAAAAAATCGAAAAAAAAAAAAAAATTCCCAAAAAACTTTTGTTTAATACACCGTTTGAGTTTTTTTTTAAAATTCCCTGTCACGCTATTTTCACAACGAGGCTGTTAAAAATGGCTAAAAATGTAGGTGGACAAGCATGAACCTTTTTATGCACTCGGATGGGATAAGAAAAATATTCTGAATTGTTTGAGAATAATCCCTGGAGGGGTAAAAAGAGAGAGAGACAGACAGAGAACGGGGGCATTTCGAAAGGCAAGTCCTCCGGCATTGACTGAAGTAGATGTTTACTGGCTCGAATAGGTGCTTATTTAAATGAAAGGAAGAGGAACTCTAGGAAGTAAGTGAATCGACCAAAAATAAAAAAATAAAAAATGAAAAGAAAAGAAAATTGTTGGGAGGGAATACGAAGAAAGAAGAAAAGGTAGATGGAAATAGAAGAAAAATATAATTGATTATATCAATAAAATCTGGAGACGAGAATGAAGCGCTAAAATAAACAAAGAAAAATCAGAATAGTTACAGAGAAATTGGGTAATGTATACTTCGTAGAAGTGGAAAGAAAGAAAGAAAGGAAAGAAAGAAAGAAAGAAAGAAAACTTGATAAAAATGAAATAAAAGAAAAAAAAAGCATAAGATAAAAAAAATACTGAGAGGGAAGAGAAAGAAAAAATTGGTAAAGAAAGATAAAACAAACTGATGATGTGACAGAGAAAAAAAAAGAAATAATTAAAAAAAAAAAAGAACGAAAGAAAGAGGTGGAGAAAAAGGAGGGAAAAGGAAAGAGAGAAAGAAAAAAAATTGTAAAAATAGAGGAAGAAAAGATAAAAATCTAGCATGAAAAAGGATGAATGATCTGAAAGAAAAAGAAGAAAGAAAGAATGAACGAAAGGAAGGAAGAAATAAAAAGAAAGAACTAAGTGACAGCTAACAAATAAAGAAAGAAAGGAAGAAAAAGAAAGAATGAATGAAAGAAAAAGAAAGAATAAAAGAAAGAAAGGAAAGAATGAAGAAATAAAAAATAAAAAGAAAGCACGAATTGACAGTTAACAAATAAATAATGAAAGAAAGAATGAAAGTAAGAAAGAAGGGAAGGAAGGAAGGAAGGAAGGAATAAATAAATAAAAGGACAACGAATTGACAGTTAAGATATAAATAAAAAAGAAAGAAAGAAAAAAATGACCAAAATGAAATAAAGTGAAAAAAGATAAAAAGGAGAAAAAATACTAACATAAGAAAAAACTAAAGACCAGTCAGATAAGTAATAAATAAATAAATAAATAAAGAAAGAAAGAAAGAAAGAAATAATCAATAGAAACGAAAGGAAGGAAGGAAGGAAGGAAGGAAGGGAGGAAGGAGGGAATGAATGAACGAAGGAAGGAGGGAATGAATGAATGAAGGAAGGAAGGAAGAAAGGAAAGAAGGGAATGAATGAACGAAGGAAGGAAGGAAGAGAGGAGGGAATGAAGGAAGGAAGGAAGGAAGGAAAGAAAGAAAGAAGGGAGGAGGGAATGAATGAATGAATGAAAGAAAGAAGGAAGGAAGGGAGGGAATGAATAAATAAAGGAAGGAAGGAAGGAAGGAAAGAAGGGATGAGGGAATGAATGAACGAAGGAAGGAGGGAATGAAGGGAGGAGGGAATGAATGAATGAATGAAGGAAGGAAGAAAGGAAAGAAGGGAATGAATGAACGAAGGAAGGAAGGAAGAGAGGAGGGAATGAATGAAGGGAGGAGGGAATGAATGAACGAAAGAAGGAAGGAGGGAAGGAAGGAAGGAAAGAAAGAAAGAAAGAAAGAAAGAAGGGAGGAGGGAATGAATGAATGAAAGAAAGAAGGAAGGAAGGGAGGGAATGAATAAATAAAGGAAGGAAGGAAGGAAAGAAGGGATGAGGGAATGAATGAACGAAGGAAGGAAGGGAGGGAGGGAAAGAATGTATGAAGGAAAGAAGGAAGGAAGAAATGGAGGAGGGAATGAATGAAGGATGGAAGGGAGGAAGCTAGGAAGGAAGGAAGGGAGGGAGGGAGGATGGACGGAAGGAGGGAAGAAGGAGGGAAGAAAGAAAGAAAGAAAGAAAGGAATTATGAACTGACAGAACGATATATATCAGAAAACCCGAGAGAAAAGAAATAAGGAAGACCAGACGCAAAAAGAAAGAAAGAAAAAAAGAATGGTATGCTAAACTATTAGGAAGAACAAAAACTTGACAAATAAGTCAAAAAAAAAAAAAAAAAAAGAAGACTTAACTTTAAAAAAAAAAAAGAAGAGAAATATGGCAGAAAGAAAGATATGAAAAAAAGCCGAACTGTAAAAAAAAAAAAAAAAAAAAAAAAAAACTAAAAAAAACAAAAGACAAAATTCTTTTTTTTCCGAAAGAAAAGCGTGTACCTTCCATTGCACAAAATATTAATAAAATAACAGAATCAGACTAAATTCTCCAAGTCCATCTCAGCTCTTTTTTGGCCCGAGGCTCTCGAACGAAGCAGATAGAGACATTAAAATGCCACAGAAGAAAAGAATTGAAACACAAAGATAACAACAACAAGAAAAAAAAAAAAAAAGACATAGTCACTAAGCAAATTACCATTCCATTCTGTGGTGAATGCACGATGGGCATATGGACAGTGGATCGGTAACGACCAGCAGGGGGGGTTGGTAAACTCGTGTCGTCAGAGAGGCAGGGGGTGCGATAATAACACAAAGGCATTTGTTTGGTGTGGGGTCTGGAAAGAGTCGAAAGTGCGTATATGTTCCTTTGGAAGGAAAAAAAAGACAAAAAAAAAAAAAAAATAAAGGAAAAAGGACAAATTAAAAAAATTAAATAAATGATCACACAAGGACTCCCACCCTCCCGCAAAAAAAAATAATACCATTCTCGAAGAAGCCAAAAACAAATTTGGTATCGAAATCAGAGGAGAAAATGGACAGAAATGCGAAAACTTAATAGGCTTTAATTAAGATGCGAAAACGTCTTTGTTGGAATATAAACATTTACAGAACACCTTTAGGGTATGTTGTTTTTTTTTTCTCCAGAAATAGTGTCTCATAATAAAAACAATCGTTTTTTCCCCCCTTACAAGTAACGCGAAACTAACATACTATCAATATTGGTGAACTGATTTCTCAACGGAAGCCTTTATGGTGATTTTGTAAGCGGACACAAGGCTGAAAGTATGAAGTACCCAGTGCAAGCCTTTATGGAAGGCAAACCTAAAGTGTGTGTCATACTAAAGGTCAATTTTTCAGCCTCTAATCAATATACGCGCCATATTTTTGGACTCCAATATAAATTCATCCAATAGATGTTTACATGCAAAGTAATGCGAGGGGCGTGATAAATAATTTGCATTTCCTTTCAGAAGCCTTCACGGAATCCGACCCAAGATTTGGGTTGGAACAAGAAAAAAAAAAACTAAAGACCAGTCAGAGAAGCAAGAAAGAAAGAAAGAAAGAAGGAAAGAAAGAAGGAAGAAAAGAAAGAAGGAAAGAAAGAATGAAAGAAAGAAGGAAAAAAAGAAGGAAGAAAAGAAAGAAGGAAAGAAAGAAAGAATGAAAGAAAAGAAAAAAGAAAGAAAAAAGAAAAGAGGGGAAGGAAAAATCAAAATGAAAAGAAAAGAAGGAAAAAAAGAAGGAAGGGAAGAAAAAAAGGAAAGAAAGAAAGAAAGAATGAAAAGAAAGAAGGAAAGAAAGAAATAGAAAGAAAGAAGAAAGAAAGAAATAAATGAAAAGAAAGAAGGAAAGAAAGAAGGAATAAAAGAAAGAAGGAAACAAAAGAAAAAAGAAAGAAAGAAAGAAAGGAAAGAATGAAAAGAAAGAAAAGAAAGAAAAAAGAAAAGAATGAAAAGAAAAAGGAAAGAAAGAAGGAAAGAAAAAAAAGAAATGAAAAAGAAAAGGAGGAAAGAAAAAGAAGGAAGAAAGAAAGAAGAAAGAAGAAAAGAAAGAAAGAAAGAAAGAAGGAAGGAAAAAGAATGAAAGAAAAGGAAGGAAAGCAAAGGAAACTAAGGAAGAAAAGAAAGAAAGAAAGAATGAAAGAAAGGAGGAAAGAAAGAAGGAAGGAAGAAAAGAAAGAAAGAAAGAATGAAAGAAAGGAGGAAAGAAAGAAGGAAGAAAAGAAAGAAAGAATGAAAGAAAGGAGGAAAGAAAGAAGGAAGAAAAGAAAGAAAGAAAGAAAGAAAGAATGAAAGAAAGGAGGAAAGAAAGAAGGAAGAAAAGAAGGAAAGAAATAAATAAAGAAAGAAAGAAGGAAAGAAAGAAGGAAGAAAAGAAAGAAGGAAAGAAATAAATAAATAAAGAAAGAATGAAAGAAAGAAGGAAAAAAGAAGGAAGAAAAGAAAGAAGAAAAGAAAGAAGGAAAGAAAAAAAGAAAGTTGTCCTCAGATTGTTAACGGCAAACAACTCCGAATTATGAAATTAGACTCCAATTAGACTCCACGAAATCCAACGCATGTACACATACACACATACATATACACACATACATGTATACATACACACATACCTATACACACATACATGCACACATACATACATACATGCATGCATACATACACATACATACACACATAGTCGCATAAACGTAGACACACACATACATACACATAATCGCACATACATACATACACACATACCTACACACATACATACATACATACACACATACATACATGCACACACATACACACATACATACATACACACATACATACATGCGCACACATACTTAGGCACATACATACACATATACTTAGACATATACATACACACAAACATAGGCACACACATGTATACACACACATACATACGCACACATACATACACACACATACATATACACACGTATATACATACACACACATGGATATGGAGGGATTCCCCGTCAAGGACGATGGCTGAGGGTTCAGTAAGGCTTTTTCTGAACAATCTGCACAAGTGAATTGTTTAAAGTGCTCTATTGCCTGCGCCCTGCAATGCACCCTGTCTCCCTCATAGCACCACGCCCTGTACCGGTGCACTGCATGCCACACCTCAGAAGATGCTACATTCACAAGGGTTTTTTTTTTTTTTTTGGTGGGGGCTTTTAGGAATTGTCCATCTAGCTGCTTGTTGGACGCTGCCGCCAAAACTAAGCTCATCCGCCCTCTTGCCAAGCTTCTTCGGGCTTGATTGGGTTTGGCTTTCGTTTTTTTTCCTTTTCCCAGACTGGTTGTCAACGAAAGCTCAACCTGTCCTGCACTTTAAACCATATCCGAGGAGAAAACATATGAATTCTTAACTTTCCGAACGATATCAGCGAACTCGACTGGAAGTCGAACTCGTTCTCATTTGGAGCCATTAACTATTAACACCACCCGCACATCCAAGTATTCCTAAGCGGTCACCCATCTAGGTGCTGCCCAGGCTCGAAGTTGCTTCACTTCAGTGATATGGCCATAAACACACACACACACACACACACATACACACACACACATATTTAGACAGGTTTCGTTAAATAATTTAGACACGTTTTGTGTACTTATTTTCGATATGATCCTTTCATATTCGCGAATAAGCTTTTTTTGTGCAGTTGTTAAAAGACGAGAGGGAAACTCTCATATTGTAAATTTTTCCGAGTACTTTCGACATAGAATAATGTCATCATCAGGGTTTTGTTAAATATAGATTAAGTATATTCGCGAATATGAAAGGATCATATAGAAAATAAGTAGACATAACGTGTCTAAATTATATAAAAAACCTCTCTGAATGAAAACGTGCTGCCAAAATACACACACACACACATATATATATATATATATATATGTGTGTGTGTGTGTGTGTGATATATATATATATATATATATATATATATATATATATATATATAGGTGTGTCCATAAAAGTTCATGTGTACTTTAAAAAATTTATAACTTTATTTCTATTTGCGATAGAAATAATTTGTAAAAATGATTAGAAAGAAGTAAATCTATATTTTTAAAGGTTTCTTGAAATTTTATTTAAGTTTCCACATGTCCTCCATCATCTGCAATACAAAGGGTAATACGATTTTACAGTTCACGGAAAACATTTGCCAACTGATTTACAATAACGCCTGAAATCTCATTAGTTATTTTAGCTATACTTAAAACTAGGTACGTTAAACTTTATAACATTTTTTACAGATTATTTCTATCGCAAATACAAATAAAGTTATAAACATTTTAAAGTGCACACGAACTTTATGGACACCTGTATATATATATATATATATATATATATATATATATATATATATATATATTAAGAAATGGACAAAAGTCCGACAATTTATTTATTAAAGACGTTTTATGTTTAACGTTCTTTTTTATAGATACAAAAGTATCTAAGTAAATAAATAATTAACATAGACCATATTCAATTCAACATGAAAAAGGCGATGGACATAAAAGCAATACCAATCAAACAGATAAATGAAATCTTTTATAAGATCAGCGTTCCGTTTAAATATGATCACGTCATAATTATGTTTTATGAATATGTCCTGAAGATGGTCTATTAGACCGAAACGTCCGACGTTGACATTAAACATTAAAACAGCATAATCGCATATTAGGATTTTTGTTTGTTTTTTTCAGTATTTTTCTTCATACTGTCGGATCTATATCCATATATATTATATATATATATATATATATATATATATATATATATATATATATATAAGGCATGGTGGAGTAATGGATAGCGGCTTGGATCGAAGAATCAGTGAGCCAATTCAATTCTGGTCGAATCCATTACGTGTTAATACCCTTGGGAAAGGTATGAATCCTCTTCTTCTCTTTCCACCTATGGGTAAATAGCAGGTTAGGGTGGCCTTGGATGGCAACTGAACTAGGAGAAGGACAACTCTGAATTCAAAACCTGCGGAGGGTCGTTTGGGGACCTTATTCAGCTCTTCAAAAAATGTGGTGGTTCTGCACAAAACCTTCACTGCTGGTGTATGACTGTCTGAACTGAGCTGCTTGATCCTCATACGTCGAATATATATATATATATATATATATATATATATATATATATATATATATATATGATTGGTGTATCCAATAATCAACAATTACTATTTAATAACATATGTTATAATTTTGAAATAAATAATTATATATATATATATGTGGCACCATTTACCAAGGCAAAAAGAAAAGAAAGGAAAGAAAAAAAAAGAAAAGAAAGGAAAAGAGAGGCGAGACCCAAAGCGTGGATGATAAGTAGGACACCCACGGCTATGGATAAAGGATATTTTGATAAGTAACAAATGGCGAAGAGTGTCATTACAATGGCAGGGAAATTCTGAGTGGATAAAGGAATCGGGTGTGTTCTGGCGACGGGCTGGTGTTATCGGGGATACATAAACAAACCGCTAATGCGGGAAGACATCTGATTAAGCAAACCACAGACCGACTAGCCAAAGAAAAATTCAATTGAAAATGTTATTTTGATAATTGACAAAACACAGGTGAACTACAGGGCTTTGGATAGATATGAAAAATTAATTGTGTCAAAGCCACACACGAGGTGGAGACTGACAGTTTTCTTTCGACAGAACATCTTTCGCCTGCGATAATAAAACTATGTTATCAGAAATGTGTACCAAAGAATGAATGGAACCATGAAAATGTTTTTTTTTCCGAGGCGACGGACGATTGTGTTGTGTCAAATAGACCACCC